TGCCGCACAGAACACTGCTGAGGGGACTTCAGCCTGCAGCGCTGCTACAGCCCAGCCACACCCACGGCTCCCACGGAGCCTCCAACAGCCCACGCTCCCATGCCTTCCCACACCCCAACGCGCCGGACCCAGCAAACGCATCCCCGCATTTGTTTCGGCGCTGACAAGCCTGATTTTTCAAGTGTCCCTGCCCACGCGGAGCGAACAAGCCGCAGCAAGGGACAGATGGCGCGGAGCGACGGGGAAGGCGGATTGAAAGGACGTACATTGACCGCGGCGACTGTCACCATGTTGGAGCCGTACAGCTGGAGCCACATCTCCTGCACGGCTCTCCAGAACTCGGCGTAGTGCTCCGTGCTCTTCCCGCACATCTCGGTGATGTCCAGGCCAGATGAGAAGATTTTGGGGACAGCCTGGAATTGGGAAAATGCAAACATCACTGAGAGTCGCTGCTCGGGGACGACCCTTTGGCCCTCTAACGCACTCGGCCTGGCAGCATGAGTAAAGGGCAAGCGATTATTAAATGTGACATAAACCAGGGTCTTCTGGGGTTCCAAAACAATCTTCCCAGCGCTCCCATGGCCTGGACTATCCCATCATCTCAGCCCGCAGGGCTGGGACTCGTTGCTTGCAGCACAATTTCTCATTATCAGAGTCCCTGTGCAGGTACTTCAGCCACGCAGGACAAAGCCTGTCCTGTCCTGTTCCCAGGCACCACCTCGTACCCGTACCACATCTGAAAATCAACGCTGGCACCTCCTAGCAGCTCCCTCTGGGCAGTTCAAGGGATGCATTAGGTTTGCAGATAAGCAGCTTTGATTTTAATGACAAATCACAATACTCGGTTGTTATTCTTCTGCTAGAAAAGGGCAGGGAAGCAAGAGCACAGCCCTTCCAAGAACCCCCTCCCCTCTTTCTGCAGCCAAAGCTGCCTCCTGACCATCCTGTGCCAGCAACCAGGGAGCCAACAGACCAAACACAGGCAACGCCTGCCAAACTGCCCCGCAGCTTGTGCCCCAGCTCAGGACAACACGTACGGATGTGAAGATCACGCCCCGGCAGGCCCGGTCGTTCTCCAGCTTCTCCAGACTTATGCAGAACTCGGTGAGCAAGTCCAGGCTGAGGCTGTTCACTGGGGGACTCTTGAACTTCATCGTGGCGACACCTGTGCCGTGGTAACCACAGAGACATCACTGTCTGCTGCCTTGCCCAAAGGAGCTTCACCGGCCTCCCTGTCTCCCCATGCTCACTCCAGATCTTGTCTTTCCACTCTTGGCTCTTCAAAAAGCCCCCAAAGCAGCAGGGCCAAAAGCAGGGCCATGCCTTTGCCCAAACCGGCCTGCAAGCTGGGCTCACGCAGCCAGTGGTGAACGTGGAGCGTAAACGAGCGTGGCACGCCGTGTGTCCCCAAAGACCAGCCACCCTGGGGTCACGTTGCCCGGTGGTTCCCTTCTCTCTGGGCTCACTGGATAAGGTCGAGCCTCCAGCTTCTGTCGCAGCAAACATGCCGAGCCCAGGGGGTCACACACCTTCCTGAGCCTGCTGCCAGCACTGCCACCCCGGCTCTGAGCCCTTGTCCCCTCCCGAATGGCACTAACCTACCCCAACAGGTCCTCACCGAGTTCTCAGGCTGTGCTGCAGCCGTGCCCAGGCTGGGGACAGCGCGAGGACGCGCCGGGGCCCAGCGGGCCCTGGGAAGCGTCAGGAAGGGGCACCCTTTGTTTGGTGTGGGGATGTGGACCTGTGACAGCTACTCCTGGCAGTCAAGACACAGATTTCCCAAAGAGCGGCTCCCCTAAGGAGCACCTGCCACTCTACCAGGTCCCCAAAGCAGGGACCCCACAGAGGGGACGAGGCATGGGCAGGGGACGGGTCACAAGATCTGCCCACGGTGACAGCTGGGGTTTGCCTGAGGCCCCCAAGCAGCACCCAGCCACCTGAAGTACCCATGACTGGTGAGACTCCCACACCCAAACACTTCTGAGGGTCCTGAGCAGCTGAAGGTGGAACATCTGGGGCTCTGGTGGTTTCCCACGCCCAGGGCCACAGGTGCCGTGGGGCAGGCACTGAAGGGGCCCTGCCTGTGCCCCACACTGTCCAGTGGGTTGAGGGTGACACCGCAGAGGTGTCACCTGCCGTACCTGAGCTCTCGTCCAGCTCCACCAGGATCTTGTTGTTGCTGAAGGCACAGCACGGGGCGAGCGGGAGGCCGGGGGGCTGCCGGGCAGCTCTGCCCCATGCCGGCGACTGGTGGCAGATGGGCAGCACACCTGGGGGGACAGAAGCAGGTAGGGCCAGGCAGGGCACAGCCCCCACGGGTGTGAGGCGTGCTCCCTAAAACTGCTCTGCATGGGCAGGGTGGGGACACGGGGACACCCTGACCTGCTGAGGGGGGACACGGGGACACCCTGATCCATGGTGAGGGGACACGGGGGGGACACTGACCCGCTGAAGGGTGACATGGGGACACCCCGACCCATGGTGGGGGGACACAGGAGACACCCTGACCTGCCGAGGGAGGACATGGGGACACCCCAGCCCATGGTGGGGGGACACGGGGGACACCCTGATCCGCTGAAGAGGGACATGAGGACACCCCGATCCAAGGTGGTGGGACACCCTGATCCACCACGGGAGGACGTGGGGCACCCTGGTCACGGCGGGGGGCCGCAGGGGGGGCAGGGGGACACGCTGACACGGACACACGG